GAAAATTATTCTGAATGGCTGATGGGTATAAGATGAGAGTACACAAAAGTGATTGGGCAGATCAATCAGAAATTCAAGAGTGAAGGATTATCTGTTTAGAAGTAGTTTGGATACTTTACAGTATTTAAACTTAAGGTTGCTTGTAAGGCTGCTTGTCATATTACTGTTTATTGTAAGTCGGCTTACCTGTGGCAAATAAATTAATGTAAAATCATGATAAGTTTGTTTGTTATGAAACATAAGGAAAATTGGTTAATTTTGGAATGTGGGATAGTCCATTTTACTACAACTGTAAATCGATTTTACCAACTGTAGAGAGAAAGTATGTAGTTCCGTAGGAAAAAAAAAACTATTAGAACACAGATTCATCTCCTAACAGAATAAATAAAAAATAAGAAATCATTGTTTAAAAGCTGCTTAGTACAGAGTGAAAAGAATGGATACAAAGTGTGTGGAGCAATGCTAAGGGGAAGCACTACAAGAGCAAATAATAGATACAAACTCAAGGTAAACTGCTCCAAACTTGATTGCAGAAAATATGACTTCAGTAACAGAGTGGTCAATGCCTGGAATGCACTACCTGACTCTGTAGTTTCTTCCCCAACCCCCAAAACTTTAACCTTAAACTGTCTACTATTGACCTCACCCCATTCCTAATAGGTCTGTAAGGGGTGTACATAAGTGCATCAGCGTGCTTACCGTCCCTGTCCTAATATTCCTTTTTACTTACTCTTTTCATGTATTCAAATTATGTTTATACTTTTACCTGTTATCTTATATATGTTTGACAAATAAACTTATGATTATGATTATGAAATATAAAAAAGGATGTTTCATGGAATGATGAGAATAGAAGAAGCAACAGAAACAAGTACAAAAATGATTCCTGCAAAAAATTAGGATGGGAGAAAGTGTATATAATATTGTGGTCAGTGACCAATTACGTGAGACAAAAAGACATAACATGTAAAGCATTTTTACATAATTGTAAAACCAAAAATTAAGAAAATATTTTTTGATATAAAGCAATAGAGCTCTAAGAAATATTGTGCCTCTTCTGGAGATGGTTAAATATCAGGTCTGATAACACAGTGTAAAGCAACTTCAGCCAGATTGGTGTAATGGTTAAGGCACAGGTTAGAGATTATGAGTTCTAGTCCTGCTTTAAGCATGAAGCCATCTGGATAATATTAGGCCACTCCCAGTGACTCTCTGCCCTACAAGAAGGAATCAACCTTTGAAAATGTTGCCCGGTGTAGTGATAAAAATTTTAATCGGTTTTAAATATGGGATTTTAAATTTGGGGGTTTTATAATTGAGCCAATTATTTAATAATTTTAAATTATTTTTAAATTTTGTCTGTCTTTGTGCTTTTAATCAGGCTGTACACCGCCCTGAGTCCTTCTGGAGAAGGGCGGTATAGAAATAATAATAATAATAATAATAATAATAATAATAATAATAATAATAATAATAAGTACTCCTCCATTCACCCATGAGCTGCATTCCATTATCAAGTCTATGATATGCCTCCCCACACATGTAAACTGTTTAAAGTTCCCTTGTAAGAAAACATTCATGGCAAATTGAATCAAAGGCATACTTAACCCCAGATGGGTTTGGGTAAAACATTTCAGCCAGTCATCCTGTACTTTACACTGTATCTGCCCTTTTCTTTACCTTATTTTTGATATGCACAGGCCAAAGTTACATAAGCTGTGGTTCTGTTTTTGCTCAGGGCTAATTAATGGCTTGGGAGTGAATTTATAGATTTAATTATGAATGATAAAGCTAAAATGTATGTCAAAATAATAAATATCATCTGGACAGTTGTGGCCTTGCATGCAATTCATGCAAGAAATTCATAATATGATGATGTTATGTTTTGGTAATAATGAAAGAGGATGTATTTTGGGGAAACACATTTTTAATAAAAGTGATCTGGGAGAAAATCATTCTGAATGGATGTGCTGAGGGCATACACAAAAAATGATTCAGAGACCCAAGATCAGCAACCTGCCAATGTTTTCCTAGGAGTCCGGTGTATGCCAAATAAAATTATGTTGTATCTTCAAAGAGATTTAGCTGCCCTCAGTGAGCCAGGTTTGGGCCACAATGCAAGAAACTTCCAGAGACTAGTTTAAATCTCCACAATCCATTTCACAATCCAAATCTCATTCATATTGGGCTCCAGTAACAGCCTGATCCCGGTGCTTGGGGAAAAAGCCAGGTCTTCAAGCTTTCTGGGATCTCTCTAGATTCCATTCTAGCTTTTTGGTGATGAAATTGTGTAGCCAGGTTTGTTAAACTAGAGTCTTCCATTTCCCCCAGTCTTCCTAGATAAATTGACAGGAAATAAAAAGAGAAATCCTCAGTGTAGCCTGACCAAGATGAATCTACATCTGATGGGACTAGACTGTTGGCTATATCTGGACAAAAATGTAAGTGGGAAAGTTCCTAGGGGAAAGTTCCTAAAGAGCCTTGGTAGTACAGTGGTCTAAAGCACCCTGTTATTAAGACAGCTGCCTGCAATTACGCCAGGCTCAAGGTTGACTCAGCCTTCCATCCTTTCTAAGGTAGGTAAATTGAGGACCCAGTTGTGGGGGCAATAAGCTGACTTTGTATAAATATACAAAAGGATGAAGGCTGTTGCTTAGCACAGTGTAAGCCGCCCTGAGTCTCCGGAGAAGGGCGGCATATAAATCAAATAAAAAAATAAAAAAATCTGATTCACTCATGGGCTGAGAATGAAATGGTCATATCACCGGGACAGGGCAGAATAAACAGAGCGCAGAAAAACCACTATACCCAACATTCCTAGTTTCAAACTTCAATGTGTTAACAAACTTGGTTTTAGTCTGGTTTTAACTGAATGCAATATTTGAACCATGGTTTATGGATTAGTGTTCTATGAGAACTAGGTCATAAGTTACTTTGAACAAGGTCAATGTTTGTTTGAAACAAACTCTGGTTTAAAGCAGTGTAGAAATCCAGCCTAATTCCCATAATCTAACACACAGAGAGTATAGAAGGTTGCAGAAAACTGATTTATAGTTTCTCTCTACATCTTCAAGAGAAGATCAGGCCTTCAAACACTTTTTGCTATTTCAGCCTCAAAAATATTAATTTATTTCATGTACATACCGGTAATTATCAACACAGCTTGTAAGTGAGAACCTGTCTATAGCAATTAGTTATCCAAACTGTAGAGTGGAGGAAATATCATCTTTTATGCTGGCTGGGAAATTCTAAGAGTTGATGTGTACGCATCTTACAATGGCTTGGATTGAGAAACAATGATCTACATCCCTAGTCCACATTTATTGTGGGGCTGAAGTTGTAAGACTAGCCCTCTGCAACTGATCAGTTTAGAATTTCAGATCACTGGCGAAAGTATGCCATTATACCCCAAGCCAGACAAGTGATATGGTGGCAGTGATAGCCGTGTACCTGGACGCTCGCTGTAAGGGTCTAGATGGCAAGGTGGAGTGGCTATGGGATTTTGGTTGTCCAAGCCCATATGATTTTTCATCTTTGACTCTGGACATGATGACACTTTCCCAGACTGAGCTGGTACACAATACTGGAGTGCTATTGGACTCATGGCCCATTATTCTTCTGCAGCTTATATAATTCTAATAAGGTACAAACTTCTCATAGTACCATTTTAATTAAGTTGTATTTGAGCTGCATTTTAGAAAAATATTAAATCAGAAGTATTGTTGATATATAGCTGTTACTGGATTTACAATACTAACTTCTTGTGATTTCTCTCTTGGCTGCTTGAAAATCCACAAAAAGCTGTAATTTCCATAGAAGATAAGTAGTGGCTTTTAAAATAAAGTTTGACTCCTTATAAATACATTGAAGTATCCGTGGAATTTTCTTCATTATTTTATGGTTTAGTTTAGTGTTGAAAGATTATCTAAAGATCGTATGACATAAAATAATGCAGCATATTGCAATATTAAAAATATTAATGAAATACTCAGTTAAGATCATTCTTTGGCAACTGAGTCCAATCTCAGACAGGAAACTCTAAGAGGAATGGTTTTAGACATAAACTTGTTAGTCTCTCTTTCTGTCCATGTGTTTGTACCTTGCAGGAAGTAAGATAGCTTATTAATGGGGTCCCAATGAGATATCCTATCAATTTAGTGACTTCAAAAAGCCAGGCTCTGGCTAAGGTATATGGTTGACAATTACACAGGAGATGAGTGATATTCTGTTTGTCACATGCTGTTTATAATACATCCTCTCTAGGTAAGGTACCTGATGAAATTGCCACAGAACTGAAGCTTGTTTAAATTCTTGCCTAAATCCTGCTCTGGTCAGAGTTATTCTTTGGCCCTGTGTCAGGCCCGTAGTTACGATATTTTACTATATTGAAAGGTATTCTTAGTCGTTTGGCTGAGATCAAGCGTAGTATCACTGCTTTATAGAACCAAGTTTTTCTCTCTTCTAGGTATACATCTGAACTAGACTGTATTGTTTCTCTTTGTCATATAATATATGTGGGTATGTGCATAATTTTGCATTTATTTATTTTGTCATGTTTATGTAGTGTATATTGGAGGTTATGACCCTTTGAGAGCTGTATGCAACGAAATTTCATTTTAACGTATGCCAATTAGTCAAAGTGACAATAAAGTTTCTAAATTAGGACTTTAAAAAAAAATCCAATCTATTTTACAAACCTGATATTTAATGAATGTCTCCCATACAGATATTTACTAACCAAATCTGACCTCGCTTAATTTTTTAAAATCAGCCAAGGTTGGCTAGGAAGCGCTAAATTCTGATCTGACAAATTCATTAACGTGAATTTGGCCAACATATTTGCCATTTTAAGTTTCCATTTTCAGATTATTATTATTCTGTTTGGATTTGAATTTCTGAAGTTTCCCATATTCTTGGAAATTTGCAAAGACATATTGGCTGAAACAATATTATTGCTACATTCATATATAACCATAAATTACAGTAACACAGACAGGATATTACATGAATACTGATTTTTGTTTTATTAGTTGGTCTTAGAATACTGTAGAAAGGACTCATAAAAATAATATTCACACTTTGTTTTAGAAAGTTTTCCAGATGAAAGATTTCTTCACTACACAACAAATTAAGGTCAAATCCAGATAGGATAGGATAGGATAGGATAGGGTAGGGTAGGGTAGGGTAGGGTAAGCTGGAATAGGATAGGACAGGATAGATGAAGGGAAGGAAGGGAAACAATATAGCTGTATGTATAAATCTACATTCATTGCAAAGATGTTCAGTGTGAAACTGAATAAAACTAATTTAAAATAACATTCACACGCTCATTCTAAAAATTGAATTTCAGAGATAATGGCATATCAATGCAAAACATTATTTCACTATAATTAAAGAACAATCCATACACATCTCATAAATTTCAGTTTGTGATAGCCTCAGCTACCTTTGCCTTCCTAAAATGCTTATCATACTTTAAAAATATTTTTTTCTATTGTTTTATATTATATTCTTGTGAAGTATAGTCTAAATCTAAAAGGAAGCCTATATTCCATCACATCGAGTAGATATCAGACTGTTAGCCCCTAGAGAACATAGTACTGTACTATTGCAAGTGTATTAAGTAAATTGGAGAAAGCATCCAGCTGAGTCCCCCCCACCCTCCTATTTCTAGATCTCCAGAAGTGCTACATGGTTCTTTGAACTTTTTTGTATGCAATAATGCATAGCAGGACTGCCCAAGTCAATCAGTCAAGCTTTGTTTGGTATCAGTGGAAATTCTTCTAAGCTCCATCCCTTCTATTTTCCTTATGCAGTTGGAAAACTTAGCTATGTGTGTCCTGAACTGTCCTGAAGCCCATCATGAAGTACCGTAATTTGCCAGGACATCAGGATGACCTCATTCTCATTGTCACATAGGATTCAAATGCCAATCCTGTTGCTACATGGAATTTGGATGGAGGCAGTCTTGTCATTTATCTTAGGTGGCAAAATATTTTTGGCCCACCCCAACAAACAATAGCTTTAGGTGGGCAATCTAAAGCAGGGAAGCAGTAGTAGTATACACATAGTATGGCAATGGTCACTGGGAAATATTTGGCGCTCAGTCAGCAGCCAATGAGCCTGAATGCACTGGTTGAAATTTCTTTAATCAGGGATGGGAACTCTGTAGTCTCATCCAGAGCCTTTGCCAACTTCTCCTTATTGTGGGTCAAACTATATGACACAATATTCTTAGAACCTTCCACTCTTTTTGTCCAGCTTTCTCTTATGTATCTAAGATTCCACTGGGTCATCCAACACATAAAAAGCTCAAAGGGACTGAAACCAGGGGAAGCCTGAGGAATTTCCCTATATGCAAATAATAGATAAGGCAATTATATGCCCTAATATTTAGGATCTTCTGCTGTATATTTCTTTAATGTGTTCCTTAGGGTCTGGTTGAATTATTCTATAACTCTCTGTCTGAGGGTGTTAAGTACAAATTATACAGAGTAATTCTTCATACAGACATGTGAGTAAAATTGATGAAAAATTGATCCTTAATCCCTCTGAGAGAGCCAACACAAATTTCCTTGATGAGGGTGTGACATTGTCCAGATGAGGGTTGTATCAGTCGGATCTGACGCTGGCTGAGTCATAATTTTTGACCACTCTCCTTGCTCCTCTCCTTTCAGGCTCAGTTTAGACTCAGTCGGCCTGAGAGAAACATCTCCTACAGATCTGGCTCTACAGCTCAGGTCTGTTCAATATCACAGTATTTGTAAGTCTTTTTGACCACTTATTATTTTTTTTCCTCCCCTCTTGTAGCCTGCCGGTCTTGCTTTGCTGGAGCAACCTGGGTTTCCAGGCTTTGCTTCACTCCTGCGGTGGCCATAAACATCTAAATTCTATGCCAAGATCTTAGCAGATACACTAAGTTGACTCAATTTATTATTTACTGTTTATATATATATATAAATATTATATGTATATGAAATCTTATTCTGTTCACCGCCCTGAGTCCTTCGGGAGAAGGGCGGTATAGAAATACAATAAATAATAATAATAATAATAATAATAATTTTGGAAGCCCCATTTTAAAAGGGAACTTTTTTCCTTATTCCCTCCTTGTTTTGGTGGGGTTTTTTCTGCTCTGTCCCACCAACGATTGTCTAAGGGGGCTTAGACCACAATACCACCAACAAGAAGAGCTATTTCCTGGTTTCTGAATCAGGATCGCTAAATCCGGCCGCCGCCCATGCCGCAGCTATCCCGAAACCGCCGATCAGCTGTAGGGCGGTTATTTGAAGCGCCGTGGCTCCTTTGAAGTGTTTTTTTGCCGCTTTGCCATCAACGAGTCTGTAGAGGTTTGAAATCACAATTTCTTTCCCTTTTACCACCAATGGAGTTTGAGGAGAGTGGCAGTTTTTATCCTTGCCTCTCCCTGTGGCATTTCCAGCCAGCAATTTTATTGTGGCTGTAGAGGCACTGAAGAGGTCTGTTTCTAGGCTTTCCTAGACAGTTACCTCTGGAGCAGAGTTGATCCTGCTCAGTGTGACCTGGCAACCATCGCGTTTAATGCCAGAGTCGTCGCCATCTTGTTTTCAACCAACGCGCCGAAAGTGAAACTAAATCTTTCTCCAGTCGACATCTTGGTCGCAGTGAGTATACTAAAGATGGCGGATCGTTCTTCCCAAGGGGAGGGAAATACTATGTCCACTGGGAAGAAATCAACTTCCAAACGCAAGCACCCTTCCAAAGCAGGGGAAAAGGATTTAGCAAAGAGGCATAAATCCTCAGAGAAGCAAATTAGCGAGGTTCCTGCAACTGTGCCTGGTAAGGAGGTTTCTCCTCCCCCATCTACCCCCCCTCCTCCCATTTCAACTGTTAGCCAGGCTTGGTCATCGAAGGGAGAGGGTAATGTTCTTCAGCAAGAACAAAGCACCTTACAAGACCCTTTTGCAAGCCAATTATTAACTCCTACAATTCCTGAATTTGGTGAGCATGTGGCAGCAGTTGCTTCTACAAGAGATTCCCCTATGCCTGTGCTAACTTCTGAAGATCCTCTTAAAAATATACCAGAAGGATTGAGGATTCTGATTGATCAGGCTGTTGCTTCTCGAATGGTAGCTAACATTCATGGTCACCACTCTGGTTCTGTTATTTCAGAGCGTTCTGCCCATATTAGAATTTCCCCTGCAGTCAACCATACTGGTTCTCATTCTCCTGCAGCCTCCAGAGCTAGTAAAGCCCTTGTGTTTGAGGAAGAGTGACATTCTGACCTATCAGATGATGAGGGGATAATTCAAGATCAACCTGCCTTTACAGGTTTATTTCCCCCTAATAAATTCAAGTTTTATTGCATAAGACTCGCTTAACAGCTGCCTTAAAGGAAGATGAATATTTTAGAGAAATTCAGGAGGCCCAGCAGGGTGGATTACGGGGGCTTTTTTCTGAGCCCCCCCCCCGATCTGTGTTATGTGCCAACTCCACAACTATTCATAGACATAGTAAAAAAACAGTGGGCTGGACCTGCAACCATGGCATTTGCACATGGTTCAGATAAGAAATATTATGCGGTTGCTCCAAAGTTTGCTCAACTCTTACAAGTTCCCTCAGTGGACAGCCCTGTAGCAGCCCTTTCCTCTTCTTCTTCATATGTAGCAGGGGATACCTCTGAAGGTCTAAGGCCAGAAGACAAAAAATTGGAATTTCTTTTTAAAAAGAACCATCAGGCTTCAGCATGGGCAATTCAATCAGCTTCATCAGCCTAATTTTTTAACAGAACTACCATCCTTTGGCTTCAATAGCTACAGGCAAGGGTACCCCCCAGTGAGGTTCACCTCCATCAGGATATCAATAAAATCATTGCTGCCACTCAATTTTCAGCTGATGCAACCTTGAATTTGGCCAAATTTGCCTCTAGAGTTTCAGCCCGCAGGATGCTCTGGCTTCGCCAGTGGTCTGCTGACCTTAAGGCCAAATGGCGCTTAGCTGCAGCTCCATATTCTGCAGAAAAATTATTTGGCGAATCACTTAATCCTCTTCTTGTAGAGACCCGAGAAAAAGCGAAAGATTTTGCCTTCATCATTCAAACGGGCTGAAAGAAGGTCCTCTCCATATTACAGGAGACCTTCCTTTCGTTCCTACTCCCAAGGAAGTCTCTCCAGGCAGGAATATCTTCAGGGATCCTATAGGTCTTCGGACAGTCAATATTTTCGGGACAGGAACAGGCAATTCCAGCCCAAGCGGTCTTTTCGGGGCTCTGGCTACCGTCAGTCCCACGGTCGTGACTCACCGCCAAATCTTCCAATAGGGGGTCGCCTGTCCCTCTTTGCGGACAGGTGGGAAAGGTCAACATCAGACCTCTGGGTGCTTTCAGTAGTGAAATTTGGTCTCCCCCTGGAATTCCTCTCCAAACCTCCAACCCGCTTTCTTCAATGTCCACCTTCCAAAAGCAAATCCAGACGTCAATTAATGAACCAGGCTGTTCAGCACCTCCTGCAGATACACGCCATAAAGGAGGTCCCCCACGATCAATGGAAACAGGGGTATTACTCCATCCTGTTCGTAGTTCCGAAGCGGTTGGGGAGGTGGAGAGCCATTCTGGATTTAAAAAATCTCAACTCACACATAGTGTATCGCAGATTCAAAATATGTTCACTAACCTCTATTCTTCAAGGGATTCGTCCCAATGATTTTCTAGTTTCCATAGACCTCATGGAGGCTTACCTTCACATTCCCATCCTGCCAAAGCATCGACAGTATCTCCGATTCAGCTATGCAGGAAAGCATTTCCAATACCGGGCTCTTTCCTTCAGGCTGGCATCTGCACCAAGAGTATTCACAAAGGTCCTGGCGGTCGCGGCACCTCACCTGAGACAAAAACCGGTAAGGCTCCAGGCTTACCTGGACGATATTCTAATTCAGGCTCACTCTCAGGAACAAGCCTTACACGACTTGAACCTCACGATCTGAACCTTGAACGATCATGGGTTCCTGGTCAACTACAAAAAGAGTCAGTTAGTGCCAGTCACCAGGATCACCCATCTTGGCGCCATCATAGATGCAGGTCAAGGGACCGTCTACCTGACCATGGAACGGCGGTCCGACATCAGGGACCTAGTGACTCATATTCGCAAAAGCCCATCAGTTCCGTTGGCCACTTTATCCAAGCTCCTGGGCAAGATGGTTTCCTGCGTTCAGATCGTTCCATGGGAGCACCTTCACGCCCGCCACTTGCAGTGGTTCCTGCTTCCCTTTCAACGGAAACGCCAGGCTCACACCATGTCGTCAATCAAAGTTCCACTCTCAGTCAGGCGATCACTATATTGGTGGACATTGCCTTCTATAGACAAGGGGTGCCTCTTCATGAATCACGACCGACTTGTACTCACTACAGATGCCAGCCTCCATGGATGGGGGGCTCATCTCGCATCGCACTTAGCTCAGGACTGTTGGTCTGCCTCCGATCTCACCAACCCTATCAACTGGCTGGAGCTGAAGGCCATTCATCTCACTTTCACGCAATTTCAATGGTTTGTGCTAAACCGCCATGTTCTGGTGTTGACAGACAATATGGCAGCGAAGGCACATGTCAACCATCAGGGGAGTACCCACTCGAAGCGTCTCATGGAGGAATCATTTCGCCTAGGCAAGTGGGCAGAGCAACATCTCCTCTCCATCAGAACAGACCACATAGTGGGGACGGAAAACACACAAGCAGATTTCCTAAGCAGGACTAAGGTGGACAACAGCGAATGGCAGATCCATCTCGACATATTCCAACAGATGTGCAACAGGTTCGGCATTCCAGCCATAGATCTCTTTGCCACGAACCTGAACACCCAACTTCCTCGCTTCTTCTCGAGGTTCCCGACGCCGGGAGCGGAAAGGGTCAACGCTCTTCATCTCACCTGGCTGCCAGGGCTTCACTACGCCTTCCTGCCGCTGCCTCTGATTCGGAAGGTCATCACCGACAGGGCAGAAATTATCCTTGTGGCTCCACACTGGCCACGCCGTCCGTGGTTCGCAGACCTAGTCGGTCTCTCCACATCTCACCCTTGGAGGATTTCACCAGACAAGATTGTGCTGCGTCAGGGAACCCTTCTTCATCCGGACCCTCAGTGGCTCCAACTGACTGCATGACACTTGAAGGGGCCTGTCTAAAGCGGGACAATTATTTGGATAGAGTGATTCACATTGTTCAAGCCTGCAGACGTAGATCCACAGTCAGACTCTACAATATCACCTGGCTCGCCTTTTATAGGTGTCAATCCCGACAGATAGATCCTGTTTCACCCTCGCCTTCCCAGATCCTGGAGTTCCTCCGAGATGGGTTTGACTGTGGCCTGGCTCATAGCACCCTTCGGAGACATGTGGCGGCTCTGTCTACGGCCTTGTCCAGTCCATCTGGACAACTACTCACTCAGCACCCTGTGATAAAAAAGTTCCTGTGAGGAGCCAGGCTCTTATGGCCCTCCTCAATTCATAGATATCTTACTTGGGATTTGCCCAAGGTCCTTAATGCATTAACTGAGACTCCCTTTGAGTCCCTCCACACAATCCACCTTCGTTTCCTCACCCTTAAAGTAGCCTTCCTCATAGCCATAACATCAGCCCGTCGCATTTTGGAGCTGGCAGCCCTCTTGGTTAGGGAGGATCTCTGTGTCTTCCAGCCGGAAACAGTTATTTTGAGATTGGACCCCTCATTTATTCCTAAGGTTAATTCCCTTTTTCACAGGGCCCAGGAGGTTATTCTCTTCAATTTCTGTCCACGGCCCTCTCATACCTTGGAGTGAAGGTGGCATACCTTAGATGTGCGGAGGGCTCTAAAGATTTATATCAAAAGGACTGCCCCTTTCAGAAAATCCGAGGCCTTGTTTCCTTTTACCAAGGGCACAAGGTCTCTTCTGCTACGATTGGTCGCTGGATCAGGGCTTGCATTGCCTCGGCATATCAGGTGATCCCTGTTCCCAGTCGCATTACTGCCCACTCCACTCGGAGTGCTGCTACTTCAGCAGCTTGGGCGACCCAGGCCTCCCTTGAGGAGGTCTGTAGGGCGGTCACCTGGTCTACTCCCTCGCCATTCATACGTCACTACAAGATAGATGTTTTTGCTTCTGCTGAAACGTCATTTGGCAGGAGGGTTTTGCAGCAGGTGCATCATGCAGGGGTCTCTCCAGGCTCTTCGACATCCCGCCCTTAAGACTGCCAAAACTTTGGTATGTCCCTCATCTGGACAATGTCACACCCTCATCAAGGAAATTGGGCATTGGTCTTACCTTAAATGCCAGATTTCTTGATTAGGGGTGACATTGTCCAGCCCCTCCCTCTGTACAGTTTATTGTTCTTGTTTAAGGAGTTTTTTTCCAGTTGTCCCGTTGGACTGGTTTTTATTCCTGACAATGATGGTTCCTGTTGGAGATCCTTCTTGTGGCCTTCCTTCGTCGAAACTGAGCCTGAAAGGGGAGGAGCAAGGGGAGTGGTCAAAAATTATGACTCAGCCAGCGTCAGATCCAAGTGATACAACCCTCATCTGGACAATGTCACCCCTAATCAAGAAATCTGGCATTTAAGGTAAGACCAATGCCCATTTTGTTCTGTACCCCAATTTGCTGGTTCAGAGTTATGCCTATTTACTTTCTTTAATGACCAAGGAGACTATTATGTACTCACACTGGGGAGGGTCTAGGATGACTCACTGTGGCTGCCTCTTTCCGGCCAACTCACCACATGACAACTCACCCTGGCCAACTCATCACAGGGCCAATTCACTACTGGACAATTCAACGCAGGATAACTCAAGAGAGGGACAAGTGAATTGCAGCAGCCCTTTTCTTGATTCAGCTTTGAACCTTCTCAAGCTAGAAGTCCTTGAGGTTGGGGTGATTTGCAATTCTTCTTGTCCCTCTCTTGAGTATCCCGCATTAAATTGTCCCACAACGAATTAGCTGCTTCAACTTGTCCAGTGGCGAGTCAGACGGGGTTAGTTGCCCTTTCTGCACTGGGGAAACTTATTACTAAATAGCAAGAGGAATCCTACATTATTCTAGTGTAAAACAGCATTCACAATATATCACATGCCTAATAATAGCAAAACTCTGAGGTATTAGCATAACCTGAAGCTTTTAATGTTAACAGTGTGGTACAGGACTGAGGATCTGGTCCTACTGTATCATTTTATTTTATTAGGTTCACAAGATCAACATTCCTGAATCAGTCATTCAGTCTTCAAGGGAAAGAGATAAAATAGAATAAAATTTAAAACTCATTAAAAGTAAAAAGATAAGAACTGTGACCACCTAATGACTACACTAAGTTACACTGAGCAATTATTAACTCTTTGGCGGTAACTACAATAGCACAAAAGATAGAAACTGCATGGCTCTGTGTGTGATCGGCCTCTCTTTCTGCTAACATGGATAAGAGAATATGTTAGTGTATTCTGAGAATTCAGCCACTATGGAAAGTATCTTGTAGGTGATGTTGACTCCTTATCAGTCCCATCAGTACCCTCAATAGCTGGGGAAAATTGCTTAAAGATCTACTGTAATAAATATAGAATTATAATTGTATTTCTGAAGGGCCAAAAACCTGGTATAGAAAAAGCTGCCTTTTTTCTAGTGAACATCCAACACTGGTGAATAAATTCTTTCTGTTCTATAGAGTTGTAAAAAGTGCAAGGAATTTTATGAACTGAAAGACACACTGAGATCAAAGCAGCTACTTTTACCTGGAAATATACAGAAGGGTGGGTTGGATGCCAACTTGACCATTTGTCATTTTTGTACAAAATTATATATGAGCATCTCTTCCACAAAGTGACATGGAGGATGCTATATTTTCCTGTATTTTCTAGCACATTATGAAGCAATTTTGCAAGCATTATCTTGTGCATCCCTTAGCAACTTTTAGCAACACCTCATGAACTTCATCTGGTCAGCTTAAAAAACATGTAGCGACATAATCACTGAACTAACACTTTGCTTTTAAAAAGTTTGCCACAAGAGCAAACTGGCAATTCCACATTTTAAGACAAATAGGAATGCTGGGAGCATTTTGCAGAAAGAGATACTGGCTACAACATTGTGTTTTAGATGAGCTCTTGAAATAAAGATTATAAAAAGGAACAATCACCTAGAGGACACTATATCAGGAAAAAATGGCCTAAATATCTAAATAGTGCAGATAAAAGTACAATATAAAAGCCCTTAAGGTAATTCAATCTATTAACCAAATGTAGCATTCATCAATTTATTATTTTCAGAACTGTGTGTGGAAACACATTTTCTTCCAGTTAATTTGATTTCTCCTTAAGGCAAATGCTAAGCCTAAACTCTTTTTAAAGATGCTACTGAAACTTAGCTTTTACTTGCATATAGTTAACTACTCTGCAAATACAATACTCAACTGCAACTCAACTGCATTAACATCCACCCACCCCTTATTTGCAGGAGCAAAGAATCAGCTTTCCAGTAGAGTTTTGAATTCTCAGTAACTTTCCCTCCAGAGAGAGAAGGGGAAAGAAAACTAGCACAGAGAAAAGAAAGCAAACCTAAGTACATTTGAAGAGCCCCAACATAAGCAAAGAACCCAACCACACGGAAAAACATTAAATAAACAATTTTTAAGGGGAAAAAAGTGGAACAAATATATACAAGTTCATCTTTCTGCTTTTTTTCAAATGCTTCTAAATTCTTCTTATGTTCTCTTTTTGCGGATACTTAAAACTCTTTTGCTTTGAAGATGCATTTGTCAAGCTTTCCGCAATTCGAGTTCCTCCAGATGTTTTCTAACTTACAATCCAAAGGACACGCTGGCAGGAAGATCATGGAAATTAGAGATGCTCAATCCATTTGGAGGCACCAGGATGTGAAGGAAGTCTTATACAGGCATAAAAATAGGACAGACTGAAATGAATAGCAGTGAAGAATCCCAACTATGCTAGGATTTAGGTGAATAGCTTCCAGAGTTATTTGCTACAGGTAGTTCTCAATTTACGACCACAATTGAGCCCAAAATTTATGTTGTTAAGTAAGAATTTGTTAAGTGAGTTAGCATTTTGCAACATTTCTTGCCACAGTTGTTAAGTGAATCACTGAAGTAGTAATCTGGTTGTTAAGACAATCTGGCTTCCCCATTGACTTCGTTTGTCAGAAGATTGCAGAAAGTAATCACATGACCCTGGGATGCTGCAACTATGTATGAACCAGTTGCCAAGCATCTGAATTTTGATCACATGATCATGGGGATGCTGCAAATGTTGTACTTGTAATAAACAGTCATAAGTCACTTTTTCTCAGTGCCGTTGTTACTTTAAACGGTCACTAAATGAACTTTTGTAAGTTGAGGACTACCTGTATTTTGCTAGATGTACTGAATTGGGAATATCACATCTCCCAGAGAACAATTACACTAGGAAAAGCCATTCTTCCTCTCTGGGCTTCAGTAAACCTTCCCTAGTGAAATAACCTCATCAATGCATTTGGATAGTCTTTAGCTCACTTAGCCAAAATGAGGGTTCAAAAAAGGCTCATTTAGATAATAAATCCTGAGCTGGACTTGCCACAACTGAAACGTTCTGTCTAACTCTAAAGCTGATTCCATAATGTATAACATTAGGTGCTTGCATTTTATAATTGTCAGTATCAGTAGTAATATTGTTATACTTTATTAACAATCAGTAATAAAGCACCTGTCAAATTCTAAGAGAGTCCCTCCTCTCTTCCCCAAAACCTTCAAAACCTTACAAAATCTTGAAATTCTGCTATAGTTCATGTGACTTGGGAAGCGCATTTGAGCTGTCATGTCATCTTGTATGATGGCCCCAAGGGTTGGAGAAAGTTGCCAATTCCTACTCTAATAACTAGACAAGCGATTGCTAGAGCCTGTGGTTGGCTTTGAGCAGCTTTATCCAGGACTAGATCATTGTAATCAGGTTTGAGAATTAGGAATTTTCCATGTAGTGTATATACTTTTTTTACATTTAATCAAACAAGAAGAAATTATGTTCCTTTTAGTATTTGATGATTGATCTAATATCTGGAGAGAAAGCTTAAGGAGATACAGTTAGATTGGGTTATGGCTCAATTTTAGATTAGCTTATTGGTGCAAGCACTAAGTGCTTCAACTTTAATATAAATATTGTCATTATAACTAGGAAAATGAAAACCCCAAAGTGATCACTGTCTTTTCACATTCTTAATTTATAGTTTTCTCCCTTTTAGCTCCATGTAGAATAATCTTTGAAGCTTCATACATGATGGTATATATAATTCCCTCTTTATCATTTAGCTATCCTTTTATGTTCTGGAATACGTTTCATTACAAAATATGTTAACATTAATATTTGTTAACAAAAAATACCTATTTTACTTAGATTCTCTGGAAGCAGAAGAAATGCTTCAGATATGCTGCTATTTCCTGAGAAGTATTAAAAGATTTTAATTACCCTGTTGAAAAACGTATTTCCTGCTTATTTTTATATTTAGCTCCACTAGCATCCATTTGTATGCTAGTTAGCAAAACAATAGAAGCTGTTGTCGGGCTCCAATCTTTAGGAATTTGAACAAATAATGCCAAAAATCATTCCAGCCATGTTAATTTTCACTGCAGTCTCCTCTCCTAACTAACTATATACACATCTGCAGGGCAGTGGGGGGAGGGGGTCATTAAATTATACTCCTCTTAACAGGATGCATGCTTAACAATAAGAAACAACTTCATATATCCAAGATATTGATAATCAAAATTCATCCTTCCCAAAATATTTTCAATGCCCAAGTGCAGCCTGAGGTTTTTTTTTTTATAAAGTTGATGTCTCATATCTTAATGTATTAAGCTTCTAGTGTTGTTTGTTTTCTTTCTTCTCCTTATGCCTGCAGAAGGAAAACACCTAGGTAGCAGTGTCTTTTCCCAAAACTATGCCCTCTAAATATGTGAAGATTCAACTCATGTAGCACTCCAACTAGCATAATTGACATGAAATGTACCTGGAAAGTAGGAAGTTGGAGGAAACGTGTTATTAAATGGACCTTTTCCTTTTGTAGCTTTTTGAAGAAATGATGGGTTAACAACAATGTTAACCAAATAAAAACCCATTTTCCTTTCTTACAGTAACCGGCACTGTTGATGAGAAACAGGCTAACAGCAAGCAGTCCTTAAAAGTAAAGACTATATCATGCTAGATGCGCCATTGCTGCTAGACATAAGATCATTTTTATTTTAACATAAAGATATATTTATGCAAAATCTGTTCCACCATATAGATGGTAGGTACAAAGAAAACAAAACCATCACCTTTGCTAGACATCACAATGAGTAATGAGAGACACTAGCTTCTGAGTTTCAGCACTGTCATAAATAAGTAGTAATCAACAACAGATCTTAATAATCTAACTACTACTGTTGGATTTCTGACAAAGAAAAATATTGGAAATGAGGCCCTGATTTTTTTTTGTTTAGCCACATTCCTTGTCTTCTTTACCTCTGCTCTCATGTAACTTCACAGTAAGTCATTTGTACTCCAAGAGGCTGGTCATTCACCTAATAATTCTCTGGCCAGGAGTGCCAGTGGGGAAGTTGGGTTTCAAACTGCAGCACCCACTGCAAAACCAGTGGCAAGCATTTCCTCTGCTCCCTTCTTCTCTTCTAATACCCTAATCCTGCCTCTACTTCATTAAAGGTATTTATAATCAATTGAGAGAAATCTGACTATTCTTTTCATAGGTTGCAGCTTAATATTTCTGACATAGCCCTTTCAATGAGCAAGTCAAACTCCCCCAGTGGGACAGTTTGACGTTAAAGTGCGTTTGCTATCATCTTAAGTCAATCTCACCTCGAATGATGCTTTTATTATCCTTCTGAACCAAAATCCTTTCCTACCAGAGAACAAATGATGAGTACCTTTTATATAGTAGTGTGTGCCTGCATCTATTTTCAGATTCTTGAGAAGAAATAATAACAAGATTAATTATCATACGTTTCAGCTTCCTCTTGTCTCTTTGCAAGCCCAGAGCTGGTTATATTTTGCTGGTTTTTGCAATCCTGTGCAATGTACCCATTGAGAAAAAAGAACTCTGCTGCAATCCTAACCTGAAGATGCAGCCAGAGTAAAGAAAGTGGGGTTCTCACTCTGGTATATCACAGCTCACCAGAAAAAGGGGGAAGGGAGAGAAAAGACCCCCCCACCCAAACTCAGTACTTGTTGATTCCAAAGATACGGACACCATGCAGCTGAGGCAACTTGGGGATCAAGACGCTCATCAAAGAGATGGTGTTGATGATGAAATGTAGCCGGTCATATTTTGTGTAGAAACTGGTAAGAAAATAACTGGAAAGGAAAGGAAAGGAAAGGAGTTTCAGTTTTGCAATAGTGCTTAAAATACTTTAAAATATTTGTCTCTTGTCCTATGCAGCTGGATGGCATCAAAGGGGGGGGGAGGGATGGTACCTGCAATCTGATAGATGGCGACAAAAAGGATTATGGGACCATTTTTTCCAACTAGCATGTTTTATTAAATTGTATAAGATTTGGTGAGCTTTTATCCAATGAGTTGCAGCTCACTAAATGTTGCTCTATTTATTAATTAAAGGAAATTCTTGTTTAGAGACTGCGTTCTACAGTGATCATTTGTAGTTATGGTGGTGAAAAAATAATTTTGGAACCAATCCTGACATTTGATCAGGATGATCATCAGGATGATCAGGATTGATGATCAGGAGGATCATCAATCCTGATGATCTCTGCAGGTCTGTAAAGGAAAGCTGAAGTAAGACTTTAGTGACCAAATTGCCATTCCCAATTGTGGTAACTAAATGGAGATTACCAGTATTTCAATTCCACCCAGTGATTTTTGTAAATCCCAACCAAGATATCAGGAATGCCACAATATTATAAAGTGCTCTGATAAAAAGTAAAGATTACGTCTCAGAGTTATACACAATTACAAATCTATCCTGTCTCCTGCGTTTTTTAAAGAGTTGGTAGAATAAAGAGCAATCCTACATGATTATTGATTCTGTGTGGCCCTTGGCTAATCCTTTCCACTAGGAGGACTGAAGGAAGGCAGTAAAGCAAAGTGCGCAAAAAATAAAATAAAATAAAATAATTGGCACTTGGTTTGTACTGGCTTCACTGATCCCTTCTGTTTTGCAAACCGATTTTCTATTGTCATCTGAGGATAGGAATTGGGGCAAGAAGAAAATAGGGATTCTGAACATTTGGAAAGAACTCATGTACAAAACTGGCTTCCGCAAGATGGGATGAAGATGCCTACTTGAGATAGGGGTTAAAAAGAGTTAACCCTGAGGAGGAGAAATTGATGAAAGCTGTTGATGAACTCAGGGAAGAAATAATGTCCTCATGACCTGCCACTGGTTTTCAAGTTGTCATCAGACTGGGCAGTACACAAAGCAATAATTGGTTTCCACATCTCACTACACTTTCATGTGGTTTTTTTTTTCCCATTAGTGTCTTGTGCAAACCAGAAAACTAGGTGTTCATTCAATAAACCATATTTAAGCATACATGCACTACACATATTGCCCCGAAGCAAGGTGTATTGCCTCAATGTAGGAAACAATGCTGGACAGATAAGCCTTGCTCTAATCCAGCAGGACTCTTATGTTCTTAGGTTATGTGATTTAGACTAAGGCTGTGAGCCAGTGGTTAGGAATGTGTAATACCCGCCTCCCCCCTCTGCTGACCTACAACTCTTGGCAAAAGTCTCATCAGCAAGGCCAACAGAGAGGGAGACTGAAAAATGTAATTCCAGACTGTTCTCCACCTGGCATAACTATGAGGTATCTATGACTTAGCCCATCTTGTTCTCAATGGTCTTCCATATAAAACAGCGCTTGAATCCCCCTGTTTCAGTGCAAACTGGAGCATTCCCTGCATGCTGAAATTGAAAAATAACAATAGAAGAAGATTTCCAACCACCGCCTCTTTGGTACTCACAGTACAATTGGTGTGATAGTCAAGAATTTGCGAGAAGCTGTGAACTGCACTCCGTAGTCCATCTGTTCCCAGTGAGTGAGCAGCCGTGCCTTCCCCTGATCGGGAGTCTCAAACGGCGTTCCTTTCACAGTGTGTAAGAAGATGTACATACTCTGTAAGAAAACATAAAGGTTTGGTAGTTTAGCAGGACTTTTGCTTGGCTGCACACTTTCTTTCAGATAGCAGTTTAAGCAATGAGAAAGGTGAAAATGACCTACAGTTCACTACACTACAGTACAGTACAATATCCTTGCAATGGAAGTGACATGATAAGGGAAAGTGCTGGGGTAAAGTCCAAAATCATTATTTCAATAAGAATTAGTGCATTTTTTTAAGTGGTTGTTTCACTGCTAAAAATTGCAGCTATTTCTTAGAGTGAAACTATCATTATGGGTGATTCTAGAGTCCATTCATTTAACAACTATTTGAATTTACAACTGCACTTCAAAAGTAAGTAATTTCTTGCATTTATGACCACGGCAACTTTTCCACTCTCATATGAACAAAATTTGGGCACTTGGTAACTGTCATATATTTACAAGAGTTGCAGCATCCTGGAGTCATGTTATTGCCATTTGTGACCTTCCCCGCTTTTGACCAGAAAAGTCAATTAGGCAAATTGGATTTACTTAATGACTATTTGATTCACTTAACAACCATAGCAAAAAGGCTTGTAAAATCAACTGCTTAACAACTGCCTTGCTTCGCAATAGAAAATCTGTTGCAGTTGTAAGTCAATGATGCAACAAGGGCTTTCTGTTTACCAACACCTAATTAAAATAATCTAATTAGACTTGGCCAAGGTGTAAAGGAGGACTGAAACTAGATGTCTTGTTCCTGTTCTGTTACATTAACCACATGTTTACTCCCAACCTAAGGAGAGGCGTCTCCCCAAAGAGCAAGAATATTAGCTTTGAGTGGACATGTTTTCTTAAGTGGGGAAGAAGGTATCAAGAGCAAACAAATAATCAAACACTCAGATTGAAATTTTTTCACAGCCATGGAAATGACTACTGGCAAGATTGATACTATAATCCTCCCTAGTTCTTTTTGACTTATTTCACTGGTCTGCAGCCGTAAGAGAAGAGCTGTGCCAAAGAGTTCTTCAGCAGCATCTACATTCTACATTTAGGCAAGAAAAACAAAATGCACAGGTACCACATATGTGGTACCTTGCTCAATAGTAGTAACTGAGAGAGGGATCTTGGAGTCCTAGTGGACAATCATTTAAATATGAGCCAGCAGTGTGCAGCAGCTGCCAAAAAAGTCAACACAGTCCTAGGCTGTATAAACAGAGGAGTTGAATCAAGATCACGTAAAGATCACTTTATAATGCCTTGATAAGGCCACACTTGGAATACTGCATTCAATTTGGTCGCCACGGTGTAAAAAAGATGTGGAGATCTAGAAAGAGTGCAGAGAAGAGCAACAAAGATGATTAAGGGACTTGAGGCTAAAACATATGAAGAACAATTGCAGGAACTGGGTATGTCTAATTTAATGAAAAGAAGGACTAGGGGAGACATGAGCAGTGTTCCAATATCTCAGGGGCTGCCACAAAGAAAAGGAAGTCAAACTATTCTCCAAAGCATTGAGCGTAGAACAAGAAGCAATGGGTGGAAACTAATCAAGGAGAGAAGCAACTTAGAAGTAAGGAGGAATTTCCTGAGAGTTAGAACAACTAATCAGTGGAACAACTTGCCTCCAGAAGTTGTGAATGCTCCAACACTGGAAATTTTTAAGAATATATTTGATAACCATTTGTCTGAAGTGGTGTAGGGTTTCCTCCCTAAGCAGGGGGTTGGACTAGAAGACCTCCAAGGCCCCTTAAAACTCTGTTACTCTATTCTATTCTTTTTCAGCATCATACATCAGAGGCAGTTGGGGAGCTGAACTACAGAGGATAGAACATAAATGGACAGCCAGATCTGGGGTATACAAATGGATGGACACAGATCAAGGAGAGAAGCAAGAATTAGTCTCCAAGAGGCTTGAGAGGATAAACTGACTGAGATACTTAATAGGCTGGAAAATGATATAATGAATGGTGGCCACTGGAATGATCAACATCTCATATCCTCTAGGCTAGTGTTGATGTGTGGAATGTGAACACCGGGCAAAGGTAGTGATATGTTTTTCTCTCTGTGTGAAGCAGTCACATATGCCTGAGCAGGTGCAAATTTTCTGACAATAAAGCTGCGGTGGGAGAATTTGGTATAATCTTTGGGTTGCAAGATAACAGATGGCCTTATAGCCCTTATAGCCTACTCTATTTCAAGAGTAAAAACACTAAATAAAACTACTGCAGATTATGTTACATCTCAGTGGGGAAACAGGAGAGCCTAAATTAAATTTTTCGCCTTTAACAACAACCATCTGGCGTGCAAGCCCCAGTTGGCAAGTAGATTCTTGTATGACAAAATGGGTTTTTACACAATCTTTCTGGCCTGCAATTGGGCGTTCCACTCAAAGGCCACCGCTTATATAGCTCTGAAAACCATTTCAGCATCTAATGATAGACTAGTACTATGATGGCGAACCTATGGCACGCGTAGCCATATCAGTGGGCATGCCAGCTCAGCTCTACTGGCATGGCAGACATGGCATGCGCCTGCTGGCCAACTGATTTTCGGGCCTTCTGGGCCCACCAGAAGTAGGGAAACAGGCTGTTTCCTGCCTCCGGATGGCGGGGTGGGGGGAAGGCCCGTTTTTCTTTCTTACCTGGCTCCAGACCTTTTCTATTTATCTGGGAAGGGCGAAAACAGCCTTTCCCACTCCCTCGGAGGCTCTCCAAAGGCCTGAAAGACTCCTAGAGAGGTTCTTAGAGAGGCTCTGGAGGCTGGGGACAGCAAAAAATGGCACTTCCTGTCCCACCGAGAGTTGGGAAATGGGCCGTTTCAAGCCTTTGGAGAGCCTCACGTGCCAACAGCCCAGGGGGGGGAAGGAAGATTGTGCGTGCATGCGCAGGGCTGGGCATGTGGATGTGGGCATGTGCGCGCACGAGCCTCCCCCACCCCCACTCCCCTCCTGGCACGCGATGGCAAAAAGGTTAGCCATCACTGGACTAGTAGGAATGGCCAGGTAGAATACTATGTGACAGAGTCAATTCCACAAAAGTGAAGTAATACAAACCACAACCAGAGACTCTTTCAATATTCCTGCCCCCAATAAAGTGGGGAATGGAAGGATTTATATTCTAAAAGGATGCAAATGACCGACTGTCTGCAAGGAATATAAATCCTTCTATTCCCTCACCATCCAGTCAGAGCTGAAGAAGCTTTTTGGACAAGAAGCGAAACGTCTTCAAAGAAAAAACAAGAAAGTCCAGCTGCCTCTTGAAAAAGCACCTTTGAGACAATCATGACCTAGATGACTGAGAATCTCCATAGGGATGAACCTATGTCATTAAAAAGTTTTTGAGTTGACTTTCATACTGTGGAATCAAACATGAAATCTATTCAGAGAGAAAGAACCCTAGTAGACTTGTGGTCATTCTCAGTCATTATATTGCTATAATGAAATAATAACTCCAGGCAAGTAGCTGAGGCCCCCAGCTGGAGAACTGATAGCTCTGTTTGGGTCAGGCTCATAATATGTATTTCCACGAGGCTGGCCACCCGGTCTGCAGCTAAAGTAGCTACTTGGCACTGCAGGAAAGATGAACTGAGGGGACATTACTCTGAAATACAAATCAGCTTAAATGACTGGCTGATCATATCATTGAAATGGGAAAAAACCCATTTTCCTGAAACTGGTCACCATTGTTACAGCTTTTAAGGTATTACTTTCTATTACATTTTGCCTTATGTTCTCCATGCAGTTCATTTGCATACCATTTTTGGTTTACTTATGCAATTTTCCCTGTTCTCATAACCAGAGTTTTTTTGGGGGGTTGATTCTCCCTCTACCTCATATATACAGGTAATCGTTGCTTAATGATTGCCCCATTTAGAGACCAAAGTTACAATACCATTGAAAAAGCAATTTTATGACTGGTTCTCAAATGACCATCACAATTTCTCCATGGTCATGTGATCATTCCAGTCACTTCACAATTCATCGAGAGTTTACAACTCTCATAATGTCATGTGATTTGCACACTTCATAGCTGGTTTCTGATAAGCGGAATCAACAGAGAAAAGAGCAGTAAAATGACAAGTTGTGGTCACGTAATGTTTTGTTCAATGATCCAGAATGATTCACTTAACAACTGGGGTAGAAGTAAGGTCATAAGTCTGTCACAATAATGTGATATCTTGCTTAACAGTTGCATCACTTAGTGATAGAATTGCCAATCCCAGCTGTAGTTGTTAAGCAAGCACTACCTGTAACCTAAAATGTTCATAAATCCAGGAAGAGTAATGTGAACATGTGTATATCAGTCAGATCAGACACACACTCATGGCTTCATATTTCACTGTAAAACAAATGAGCATTGCATTAATCTAACTCTATTCATCCTTTCTACACTGGACTTAGTGAATCTATCATTATGATTATACTTCTCAACACAGGGATAGGAAACCAATAATTCTTCTGAACCAATGCAATCAAAGGCAAGAGAGTGTAGGACTGCAAATCTCCAACCTTCCTAATTTTCCAACTCTCCTTTAAATAACTGTCTCCTACTGTAGGTAACTTGGGAAATGTGACTTAATCTTGATTATTCGCCAACATATCAAACTTGATTTTGCAAACTAATAAAAACTAAACCAGGTTTTTTTCTCTGAAAGGGAAATGGTAGTTTAAGCTAAGCATGATAGGAAGCAGTGTGAAGCAGTGTGAATGCCACTTTGACACTTTACTGGGCTTTGACTTAATAAACTAAGATCTTTATATGTGAATATTCTGCTTTAAATACCTCCCTCATCTTATTCCACTGTCCTTGTCCTAGGTGATGTGATGGACATTTTCATCAGATAATTGATCCTTGTCATCACATTATCCTAAATTGCCATATAGAGAACACTGAATGAAAATAGGAGCAGATACATCAAATGGGGCCCCAAATCAACAATTTTTTAGCTGAGATGTACGGCTAGTTTCCAAGTTGAGCCAGGAATCTATGTAAGATGATGAGATCCTCAAGGAAGCACTCAGGTCTGGGAAATGGATTCCAGATGGAAAATACGATACCCACTGGCTGCAGGGCCGTGCAACAATTGCACCTGATTTACTACAGCGACCATTGATGCAACTGTTCCCCCCTTCCCATTCGCTCAGAGAGCCTAGAGAGGGACCATCACTTTTGCTCCTTCCACTGCCTGTTGCAGAAGCACCTGTTTGTGAAGTCAAAGAGCACCTTCATACCATGTTGTGAATGAGGTTGGTTAGAGTCCAGACAACAGGGACACTGAAGAAAGGAATGCTGAGCAAAATCACATGCAGGAGGCCAATTCCCAAGATGTAGGAGAGCCAGATGCCGCGGCTGTTCATGACTCGGGTATTTGGGTTCACTTCGCTGTGAGCTGTGCCCACATTCATCTTTCCGGCACAGCAGCCCTGGAATGGAGCACAGAGCAACAAAGGTGCGTCAAAAGACAATATGCAACTTCGCCGTGTCAAAGAATATCATCAATTTGCTTTCTTCTATATCAGTTAGGCAATAGTTCTACCATCAAACTCAAGATGCAGACTCACAGGTCTCATAGATGCCTGATATTTTTCAAGACAGACTTTGACAGCTGTGATGAGCATGTGAGCACTGCTCTATGCATCTGCACTCCGAAGAGGGGAGAAAGGAAACAGGCATGGGATTGAATACTTTCCCAGCCCTTGTTGTTTAATTGCACTGGGTCTACAAATCTCATCACTTTCAGTTAGACATGGAATTGTGGTTCCACACTGAGAGGATACCATGCTTAGAGATACCTATTATTTTCATTAAAACAACAACAACCCTTAGGAACTTGATCCATAGAAGAAACATAAAACATTTGAAATCTGTATGTACTTCCACTTTGGCTCTAGCATCAATTCTGGATCAGCTGTAAACATCAGCATTTCTTTCCTTCCCCCATTCCAATCAATGATTGATTTGAAACAGATGTCAAGCTGCTAGTTCTTTTGAAAAGCCTTTGAGTAGTTAATTTTCCTGCCTCAGCCTGGCTCCAAGCTTCAGGATCCAGTTCCCGGTGCCTGTCTGGAAACATTAGTTATAACGCCTCTCCCTCTTCACCATCTGTATGGGCATCAGCCAAAATTAGAGGTAAGGACCCCAATTGCATATGCTAACATTATCATTTCATTATTATAGCTTGCAGAGGTCTTTTAAATGTAGGAGGAAACATGACAATGCAGTTGAAAAGCATTTTTACAGAGAAAAAACTTATTTTTTTCCCAAATAGCCAAACAAATGCATACAATGTGAACTAAGGAGAAGAGTGAGGTGGCTAACAATTTGGGAGTGATGAATTTTCATGGCTCCAGAATGTGTAATTGGTTCAGGGTTGAGAAAACAATGGGAAAACATTTTTGTTCTCCTGTTACTCAGCTTGAAGAGAGTACTGATTGCTTAATGGCATATTTTGCAGAGGAAAAACTTATTTTTTTTCCAAACAACCAAACAAATGCATACAAGGTGAACTAAAACCAAGGGCCTTGGTAGTACAGTGGTCTAAAGCACCCTGTTATTAACACAGCTGCCTGCAATTACTGCAGGTTCGAATCTTACCAGGCTCAAGGTTGACTCAGCCTTCCATCCTTTCTAAGGTAGGTTAAATGAGGACCCAGTTTATGGGGGCAATAAGCTGACTTTGTATGAATATACAAAAGTATGAAGGCTATTGCTTAACGCATTGTAAGCCGCCCTGAGTCTCCGGAGAAGGGCGGCATATAAATCAAATTAAAAAAATAAAATAAAATAAAATAAAACCTCCAGGGGGAGAGGAATTTATTTCCTTTTTTTTTATGTGGTGGGAGTTGAGAGATTTTCATGGCTCCAGAATGTGTAAATTGTTCAGTGGATGAGGAGAAAACATTTTTGTTCTCCTGGAGGAGAGCACTGATTGCTTTATGGTATTCCTTGCAGATTTAAAGTGATTCATGGGGCATCATGTGTGATGTTTTTATTTCTGTATGCTATTGTAGGACTGCCCTCTCACTAAACAATTTTTGGATTGCTTTATGAATATAGGATGGCTTTAAACCGCTTTGTTAGCATCTAACAAAGGGAATGGAACTGGTGTGGCATGGAAGTAATCTGAGGGGATCCTATGTATGATTTCCAGTAACTAGAGGGTAAAGGAGTTGAGTGATCCTGTGTGGCTTTGACACACAGAAGAAAACTAACATCGTGAAGGCTGTTTTCTAGTTGTGCAGTGAGACCAGTGCAAAAATCAAGATTAAGCAAAGCTAGACACAATTCAACAAGAATAGAAGTAAAATGGTTTAAATATGCCTGTGGCAGAGAAGAGGGTCATCATTAACCAGGTGTGATGCAATCACTGTATTTGGAACTGTGGAATTGGGATCGTAGAAACACCCAGGAGCATAGAAGAGTTCAGAGGCAGATGCATAAATAAATGTCTTAAACGTATTTATTCATATGATAAATCATATTAACTATGTACAACAGAGATCAAGTCTCATGAGGAACAAACATGAAAAGAGAGAGATGGAGAGAGCGAGGTGGAAAAGGTTGGAGGGGGTTTTATACTCAGGGTAAGCACCTCCTTTCCACATAGGGCTGGAGACACTCTCTGCCTCCACTGGTGTCTATATGACACATGTGCCAATGGCTTGCAAATACTTGACAGGAACTCCTGTGCTTCTCCCAGTAAAAAAAAAAAATAAATGCTTTAGCAAATTCACATGTGCATTCTATATGTTACTTCACCTGTTAATTCTGTATTAACTAGTTCAACACTAGCACACTGTGCTTTGTATTGGTTTCTGAAGCAGGTTGCTTGGAGGTTCAAGTAAATGCTGAATTATTAACATCTCACACCAGGCAGGGCCAATAGTGACTCTGACATAAGACTCTGAAGTGGAAGGGAAACTTTTAACACTTTGCTCTAATGCTTTATTGCATCTGTTGTGATGCAAACTGTTACCCCTTGGCATTGCAATTTGCTTCAACACTCTAACTGAATGAACATGAAGAATGCAGAACTTGTTAAAACCAAAGACTTTCATGTCCCCATATTAGAGTTTTGTTTCAACTTGGACCTGACTGTGCCAACTATTTATTTGGAGAAGACAAAGCAAACACATAAGGACTAAAAAAAAAAAAAAAAAAAGAGGACAAGACATTTACAAGCATATCAAGTTTGTCTTTCATTAAGCTGAACACTGTTTTTCCCCCTAAAATATTTTATAAAGCATAATCTTACAGTGAGATTTGTATTTACCACCAAATAGGTGCAAAAGTTTATGGAGAAAAATAAAAAATAAAAATAAAAATAAAAAATGTGTTTGCTAGGAATCAAAAATGATTTGATGGCACATAGTTGGTGTAAAAGAGCTCTTTGGATAGATGGTTATGAAAGGAACTTAACCTGACACACTGGCAATTTTAGAGTCAAAGCACATCTATCGCCCCACTGAGATTTAACTTTTGAGAGGCAGGGATAGTGGCTGATATGCTACGTGTCACATACTCAACAGGTAAACAGTCTGCAATCATATCTGTCCATTACTAAAACAAGAGACAGATGCTTAGGATATCAGGAATTTAACCAAATATCTTTTGTGTACAAAGCACATGCTATACCACTGGGCCAGGGCTATTTTGTACTATTCAAAGCCGCCTCCTTGAAATCCCTACAATAGCCCTATAAACGGAGATTAGCACTTATCTCAGTTAATATGCAATAAAACTGCAGGTTACATTTTTTTTTCTTGGCATGTGCATTGCATACATTCTTCTCCTGTTCTCCCTGGGAGATTCTCCTGGCTTTTTTTTTTCAAAAGCAGTTTCTATTTGCTTCTGTGACTAATGGATTGCAATCAGACCTTATGCATCACATGGTCCATGGCTCTTAAATGCTCAATTTTAAATATAGGCTTGGTCCTGGTGTGTTTCAGGCGTCTTCAACTTTGTTTTCTCCTTTTTTCTAGCAGTTTACCAAAAGGAGAGGGTGGGAGGGTGTTACAAGTGAAAATGCTTCTTTCTACAATGGCTCTGAACCTTTTATGTTTAATTATTTAACAATTCTTCAGGCCTATTTCTAGTTCAGGCTGGCCTAGTGATTTTTCCCTCCATTTTTATCCAAATGAAAAATCAGTAGTTGATAACAATATGTATGGATTTTTGACTGTGAGCAGAAATTTTGTTGATTTTTTTTAACTGTGAAAAGACAGGAACAGGGTTCCAGAAGCATAGATTTTTCCAAAGGACAAAAGTTCCAGAAATATACAGAGTCAATTCTCTTTCTTTAACTTGAATTATGACTAAATAAGCATATATTTATCGAGGAACTCACCTCCACTACATTAGGAGATATTGCCATGCTGAAGTTTTGAAACTTCAGGGATGGCTGAGTTATTTGTTTAAAGGACTCAGTGAAGAAAAAAGCAAGTTATAGAAATTAGCCTCTTGAAAGAGTGTTATAAAGTCTTTAAAAGCATACAGGTGGAATTTTATTTTACTGATGATTGTAACACTGTAATGTATATGCAATGGTCAATGCAAAGAAGAAGAAAAAATGTAAACTCTATGTTTCCAGGGCCATTTAGTGACTCTGCTAAGAGAAAGTTTCTTTTTCTCTTAAAGAGTTTCCATTTGCCACAGGTACAAAATTCAGGTTACTGATCTGTTCTGGATATAGGTAGTCCTTGACTTACCACCACAGTTGGAACCAGAATACTGTTTCTAAGCAAGGTTAAGTGACCATTTTATGACTTTTTTGCTATGATTGTTGGCTTCACAATCCCAATTCACTCAGGTTTTCTGCAAATTATTTAACTAATCCATAAATTCATGAACTTTCATTTTTGCTTACCTCTCTGGCAGGGCAGGACTGATATATTTGGAAAGAACTAGATGTGATGGCAACAATTCTGTTTAAACAAAAAAAGAGAGTAAGGGAGGGAGTAAAATTATTTCTCAGAGAATAGAGCATGTACTGTGAAATTAAAAAAAAAATCTTCTCCCTGCATAGTTTTTCTCCTCAGCTATGCTTAGATAACAAAAATGACATCTGCTAAACAAAATATGTCAAGTAGTAATATTCAGCATTCCTTATCCACAGGTTTATTTTGCTATTTAAATTGGGCTTGTCTCTGTCTTTATATTTAATGAGGTAATTATTTTAAATCCATTTCACCCAAGTGACACAATGCTCCATCTGAAGATTGTATAAACAACTCATTGACTAACCCAAAAGGGCAATCATTTGTTAGTTACATAATTCATTACTGTAAAGAAAGCAGAAGAGGTGCGTGTGACATTGCTTTAAGGTAGTCAAAATAAAGTATTGTAAAGCAAGGATACCATGCACTTAAAACTTTTTTCTTTAAAAGGAAGAACATTTACTTCTTTATCTCACAGATGAAAATATCCTACCATTACCTTGATTTGGAGCCAAAGTTTAACATTCCCTTCTTCAACTTAGTGCCCTTGAGAAATTTGGGATGTTCACTCCCAATTAACAATGTTGGCAAGGAATGATGGGATCTGATATCAATCACATATGGGATATCTAACTTAGCATGATCAGGCAAGTGATAAACCTGCACTTGGACTGTTTCCTTCTTCCTCTTCTGGAATGTCTACATAAGGCCAACTATGGTTTAGTACAAGAGTGAAAATATGTGGCCCTCTAGCATTTGAGCTACAACTCCATGTTCTCACCATGAATCATAATAAACAGAATTGACAAGGAGTTGGAATCCAATAACATTTGACAAAGTGAGAAAATTAGTGGACCAGAGGAATACTGTCAATATAATTTATTTGGACTTCAGTAAGGCATTTGATAAAGCAGACCATAACCTACTACTAGATAAAATAGAAAAATGTGAGTTAGGCAGCATCACCACCAGATGGATTCGTAACTGGTTGAGCAATCGCACTCAACGTGGAGTCCTCAATGGAACTGCATCTACATTGAGGGAAGTATGCAGTGGAGTACCCCAAGGCTCTCTTTTAGGCCCAGTACTCTTCAACATCTTCATCAATGACTTGGACAAGGGGATAGATGGGGAACTCATCAAATTTGCAGATGACACCAAACTGGCAGGAATAGCCAACACTCCAGAAGATAGGCTCAAGATACAGAAGGTTCTTGACAGACTTGAACATTCGGCGCTATCTAACAAAATAAAATTCAATGGTGAAAAAAAGTAAGGTTCTACATTTAGGCAAGAAAGACAAAATGCACAGGTACCATATGTGTGGTATCTCGTTCAATAGTAGTAACTGTGAGAGGGAACTTGAAGTCCTAGTGGACAACCATTTAAATATGAGCCAGCAGTGTGCAGAAGCTGCCAAAAAACACAGTCCTAGGCTGCATAAACAGAGGAGTTAAATCAAGATCACGTGAAGTGTTAATACCACTTTATAATGCCTTGGTAAGGCCACACTTGGAATACTGCATTCAGTTTTGGTTGCCATGATGTAAAAAAGATGTGGAGACTCTAGAAAGATGATTAGGGGACTGGAGGCTAAAACATATGAAGAACGATTGCAGGAACTGGATATGTCTAGTTTAATGAAAAGAAGGACTAGGGGAGACATGATAGCAGTGTTCCAATATCTCAGGGGTTGCCACAAAGAAGAGGGAGTCAAGCTATTCTCCAAAGCACCTGAGGGTAGAACGAGAAGCAATGGGTGGAAACTAATCAAGGAGAGAAGCAACTTAGAACTAAGGAGAATGTCCTGACAGTTAGAACAATTAATCAGTGGAACAACTTGCCTCCAGAAGTTGTGGATGCTCTAACACTGGAAATTTTTAAGAAGATGTTGGATAACTATTTGTCTGGGGTAGTGTAGGGTATCCTGTCTGGGCAGGGGGTTGGACTAGAAGACCTCCAAGGTCCCTTCCAACTCTGTTATTCTATTTTAACATCTAGGGGGCCACAAGTGCTCCCCGTTCTAAGATTGCCTGAAAAATTATGTTCATAAGTTATACTGTTCTATTTGTTCTGACATTCTTTCTAGTTAAAACAAGCAACTGGAGAGAAAATGATAAAAGACAATGCATATAAGTATCTTTTAAAATATGATTTATATGGTTGCCCATGTCACATAGATGACTTTGGGTGGTGTGCAAGTATTAATAGTATGAAAACCACAGTGTACAACTCCCAGTGTACAAGCTCCCCCCCCCCAATATAAAACAATGACTCCCCTCAAATGTATCAACAACAGCAGAGCTCACTTAACATCTTGATCCAAATACCTGGAAAAACAAGGCAGGTCTTCAATGCCACATGAAAAGCTAATAGGGTTGGGACCACCCAGATCTCCAGGAGGATGTTATTCCATAAGGCAGGTACTGCCATTGAGAACTCTGAGTTCCAACAAGATTATATTATTTGATGGAAGAGACCCAGAGCATGCCCTCTCTACTGTTTCTGGAGGCTGGATAGAAACAATGGGAGAAAGACACTCCCATAATTAGCTCGGTCCTAGGCCACCGAGGGCTACAGATGATAGCCAGAACCTTGAATTATATCTGGAAACCTATGGGAGCCAGTACAGTTTGCAGAACAGTGGTATTACCTGGGCATAGTGAGAAACATCAAAAATTATCTGAGCTACTCATTCTTGGAAATTAACAAAAATTTCTGGCTACTCATTTTGACCTTCAGAGGATGATGGGGGGGAACAGCCATTTAGGAGAACACAACTAGTTTTATATAAAAAAGGAGGGCTTATAAATATTCTAATATGGGATTGTGGAATATGACTGCCAGTTGGTGAATGCTAAGCCATTTCTGGGGGGGCAAGTCAACCCATCTGGAATTTTGAAAGCATGCAATGAACATGGAGGATTTTGTCAACTGATCAGCTGTCCCTGCAAAGGACACACAATAATAGAACTGATATGACTTAGAAACATATCTTCACCTCTTGCAGATTATCCAGGTGGGTACTAAGCTTAAACAAGGGTCAAGCAGTCCCCTTTATTATTCCATGATAACTTGTTTTAAAAGGCACTTACTGAGTCAATAGGCACACGTACACGTAACTATTGATTCATGTGACCTTTTCCATCTGGAGCACCTTGAAGAAATATAAGAAGATGAGTTAATTGGGCAATATAATGTAAGCATATATTTATATTGATTCAGTTTACAGAATTGCAACAATGGAAACAACTGGGCCAAATAACTTAAGACAGGAGGCACAGCATTAAAGCTAATTTCATTCAAATCTTTGCAAATGCCTTCCCACTTAGGAGGCCTACTGATATTCTATTAGCTAAACGTAAAAGCCTATAAGAAAGAATTCAGTGCACATCACATTTGCAATGCCAAAATGCTGCTCTTTTACAACTTTTCCCTTTTGCTTCAGTGGGAATGGATGTTGACAGATGAGAAGTTGTGTCCATGTTTTAATATGCTTTTCTTTAAAAAAAAAAGATGATAGTTAGTCTCAGGCAACCATATGTAATGACAAAAAAAAACCATTGGAGATTATTATCATTAGGATTTTGCTATGGTAAAAGTATTCATTAACTGGCTTCCTTTAATACAAATGACTGAAATTGAAAATTACCTTTCAAAACATATGGGGAAATAATGAGAATGGGCATTGGTCTTACCTTGAATGCCGAATTTCTTAAGAGTTGTGGCATTGTCCAGACATCGTCCAGACATGGGTTGCTTCAGTTGGATCTGCTGCTTGCTGAGTCATAGTTTTTTGACCACACCCCTTGCTCCTCCCTTTCAGGCTCAGTTTCGGCGAAGAAGGGCCACAAGAAAGATCTCCAACAGGAACCAACACCATCAGAGATAGAAACCGGTCCAACAGGACAACTGGAAAATAAACTCCTTGAACATTAAGAAACAAACTGTACAGGCCCTGAGACAGAGGGAGCGGCAGGACGATGCCACAACTCTTAAGAAATTCGGTATTCAAGATAAGACCAATGCCCAATTTCCTTAATTGGTTGTGACACTGTCCAGACATAGGACATACCAAAGTTTTGGCAGTCCTAAGGGCGGGATGCCGAAGGGCCTGGAGAGACCCCTGCTTGGTGCACCTGTTGTAAAACCTTCCTGCCAAATGACGCTTCAGCAGAAGCAAAAACATCTAACTTGTAATGGCAAATAAATGGTGAGGGGGTGGACCAGGTGGCCACCCAGCAGACCTCCTCAAGGGAAGCCTGAGTTGCCCAGGCCGCCGAGGTAGCAGCACTCCGTGTGGAGTGAGCAGTAATGCGGCTGGGAACAGGAATCGCCTGGTATGCCGAGGCGATACAAGCTCTGATCCAGCAACCAATTGTCGCAGAGGAGACCTTATACCCTAGGGCAGTAGTAGGCAAACTTGGCTCTTTCACACCCTGTGGACTTCAACTCCCAGAATTCCTAAGACAGCCAAGCTGTCTTAGGAATTCTGGGAGTTGAAGTCCACAGGGTGTGAAAGAGCCAAGTTTGCCTACCACTGCGCTAGGGAATTTGGTAAAAAGGAAACAAGTAAGGCCTCAGATTTTCTGAAAGGGACAGTTATTTAATGTAAATTTGTAGAGCACTCCGCACATCTAAGGTGTGCCACCTTTGCTCCAAGTTATGGGAAGGCCGTGGGCAAAAGTTAGGGAGAATAACCTCCTGAGCCCTGTGAAAGAACTTTAGGGATAAAGGAGGGGTCCAGGTGCAAGACAAAAATGTCAGGTCTGAAGATACAGAGATCTTCTCTAACAGAAAGGGCTGCCAGCTCAGATATGCGGCGAGCTGATGTTATGGCCACTAGAAAGGCTACTTTAAGAGCAAGGAAACGAAGGTGGACAGTGCGTAGGGGCTCAAAGGGAGCCTCAGTTAATGCGTTAAGGACTTTGGACAAATCCCAAGGGGGATATCTATGAATTGAGGAGGGCCGTAAAAGCCTGGCTCCTCTTAGGAACTTTTTTGATAACAGGGTGTTGAGTAAGTGGCTGTCCAGAAGAACTGGACAAGGCCGTAGATAGTGCCGCCACATGTCTTGGGCCAGACCGCAGTCCAAGCCATCCTGCAGGAATTCTAGGATCTGGGGAGGGGAGGCTGAAAGAAGGTCGACCTGGCGAGACTTACATCATCTATAAAAGGCTAACCAGGTGATATTGTAGAGCCTAACTGTGGACCTATGTCTACAGGCTTGTACAGTATGGATCACTCTATCCGAATACATGTCCCGTCTTAGGAGGATCCTTTCAAGTGTCAGGCAGTCAGTTGGAGCCACTGAGATTCTGGATGAATCAGGGCCCCTTGGCGCAGGATGATCTGGTCTGATGGAATCTTCCAAGGATGAGATATGGAGAAATTGACCAGGTCTGCACACCACGGGCAATGTGGCCAGTGTGGATCCACGAGGATAATTTCTGCCCTGTTGGTGATGACCTTCTGAAGCAGGGCCTGGATTAGAGGTACTGGCGGAAAGGCATACTGAAGACCAGGTGGCCATTTGAGTCGGAGAGTGTTGATCCCCTCCGCCCCCGATGTCGGGAACCTTGAGAAGAAGCAAGGAAGCTGAGTGTTCAGGTTCGTTGCAAAGAGATCTATGGACGGAATCCCGAACCTGTTGCATATCTGGTGGAATATGTCTGGAGGGATCTGCCACTCGGCATTGTCCACCTGGGTCCTGCTGAGGAAATCTGCTTGGGTGTTTTCCGTTCCCGCTATGTGGTCCACTCGAATGAAGAGGAGATTTTGCTCGGCCCATTTGCCTAGACAAAAACATTCCTCCATGAGGCATCTCGAGCGAGTCCCCCCTTGACGATTGACATGCGCCTTTGCAGCTGTCTGCAGTTGTCTGTCAATACCAGGGCATGACGGTTTTGTACTAACTGTCAAAATTGTGTGAGGGCAAGGTGAATGGCCTTCAGCTCTAGCCAATTGATAGGGTTGGTTAGGTTTGATGCTGACCAGCGTCCCTGAGCTACGTGCGAGTCGAGATGAGCCCCCCAGCCATACAGGCTGGCGTCTATGGTGAGGATGAGTCTCTTTTGATCCATGAAGAGACATCCTTTGTCTAGAGAAGGCGATGTCCACCAATGTAGCGATCGCCTGACTGAGAGTGGAACTCTGACAGTAGACATGGTGTGAGCCTGATGCTTTCACTGGAAAGGAAGCAGGAATCACTGCAAGTGGCGGGCATGGAGGCATGCCCAGGGAATGATCTGAACCCAGGAGACCATCTTGCCTAGGAGTTTGGACAAGGTGGCCAAGGGAACTGACGGGTTTCTGTGAATATGAGTCACCAAGTCCTTATGTCGGATCATTCCAAGGATAGGTAGACTGTTCCCTGACATGCATTGATGATGGCGCCAAGATGGACAATTCTGTTAACTGGCACTAACTAGCTCTTCTTGTAGTTGACCAGGAACCCGTGATCGTTCAAGGTTTGAATTGTGAGGTCCAGGTCATGTAAGGCGTGGTCGCGAGAGTGAGCCTGAATTAGAATATCATCTAGATAAGCCTGGAGCCTTACTGGCTTTAGCCTTAGGTGGGCTGCTACGACTGCCAGGACCTTTGTGAAGACCCTTGGAGCCATGCCAGCCCGAAGGGAAGAGCTCGGTACTGCAGATATTTCCTGCAAAGCTGAAACAGAGATACTATCGATGCTTTGGCAGGATGGGAATGTGAAGGTAAGCCTCCATGAGGTCTATAGAAACTAGAAAGTCGTTGGGACGAATCCCCTGAAGAATAGAGGTTATTGAACACATTTTGAATCTGCAATAAACTATGTAAGAGTTGAGGGATTTTAAATCTAGAATCGTTCTCCACACACACACACACACACCGATCGCTTCGGAACCATGAACAGGATGGAGTAATATCCCTGTTTCCACTGACCGTGGGGAACCTCCTCTATGGCGTGTATTTGCAGGAGGTGCTGAACAGCTTGGTCCATCAGTTGATGTCTGGACTTGCTGTTGGAAAGTGGACATTGAATGAAACTGGTCAGAGGTGTGGAGAGGAATTCCAGGGGAAGGCCGAATTTCACTACTGAGAGGACCCAGAGATCTGGGGTTAAGCTTTCCCACCTGTCCGCAAAGAGGGCCAGGCGGCCTCCAATGGGAGGGTTTGGCAGTGAGTCATTTACAGCTGCGGGACTGGCAGTAGCCAGAGCCGCGAAAGGACTGTTTGGACTGCGGGAATTGTTTGTTCCTATCCCGAAAGGATTGATGACTGGTTTGATCCTTGAAGGTAACCCTGATGGAAGGGGCTTCCTTGAGAATAGGGATGAAAGGATGCTCTCCTGTAATAGGGAGAAGACCTTCTGTCAGGGCGTTTAGACATTGAAGGCAGAACCTTTCGCTTGTCATGTGTTTCAATAAGAAGAGGATCAAGCGACTCACCAAACAGCTTCTCTGCTCAATAGGGAGCTGCAGCCAAACGCCATTTGGCCCTAAGATCTGTCAGCCACTGGCAGAGTCAGAGCATCCTGCGGGCTGATACTGTAGAATCTAGGGCCCTAGATGCAAACTTGGCCGAATTTAAAGTAGCATCAGCTGAGAATTGAGTGGCAGCTATGATTTTATTAATATCCTGATGGAGGCGAACCTCACTAGGTGGCACCCTTCTCTCAGGCCGACTGAGTCGAAACTGAGCCTGAAAGGGAGGAGCAAGGGGCATGGTCAAAAAACTATGACTCAGCCAGCAGCAGATCCGACTGAAGAACCCATGTCTGAACGCTGTCTGGACGATGCCACAACCAATTAAGAAAATGATATTGTAACATCATTGTGAAAATATTTATTGTTATTAAGGTTTTCAAAGCAGGTGGGGAAATAACATGAAGATACCGTAGCATCATTGCCTGTGGAAAACGTGTATTATCAGGATTTATTGGAGAAAAGATGGAGTTTGAAATTGACTCCTAATGACTTCCTGTGCAGATGTTTGTGCTAAGTTGTTTATCACTTCTTTCTTTTGGGATTTCATTCAACCCTTTAGTCTAGCCCTCAAGCGGAGGTGTTCCTTCTATTAAGACTTTACTGTAGCTAATTAGAAATGACAATGGGGAGAAAAGGTGTATTCATGGGAGAAACAATATATCACAGCATTGTCACTTTCTTTAAAGTGATTGTACCTTTAAACCACTTTCTCCCATGGTTGTTTTTTGGGGTTTTTTTTTTTGCTTCTGGCATGCTATGGTCTGGCTTCTGTAGGCAGATTTAGGAAGGGGAAATTTTGCTGAATTAATAGGTATTCTGAGGGGTCCTTGATAGTGTCTGAGCTTGGTTATTTTCTTGCAGACATTTCATTACTCTAAACTAGGTATCATCTGTGCTAGTAATTAATAGTTCTTCTTTTAGGAAAGAAGAATGGCAGATGATTTGATAATGTATATGCAATATATATTCTCCAATAATGCAATATACTGGAAAACTGACATGTTCTCTTCCCCTTCCTGCTGCTCCCATCCCCACATTAATCTGGGGAAAGTCCCGCAATTTTTTAGAAATTAATATTCTGGATTGGAAGCAAACTATCCCTGGAGTGGCCAAATCAACCTATTCTTTTTGTTCTTTTGATTCTGCATACATTATAAATGCATGGCTTACAAGGAGAATGATACACAATACTTATAGACTTTAAGTACTTTAATGTTAGTTTATGATTCTTTTTTTTTTTTAAAAAAAGCTTTGTCAGTTCTACATTGTTTTAAAATCAGTTTTGTTAAATAAATGCTGTATTTTATGCAACTGCATAAAAGGATGGGATGAGAACTATACCAATTACAGTATTTAACTTTGCTTAAAGTTACTTTATTTTCAGTGAATAGCAGCCAAAGGAGGCTGGAAACAAACTAAATGGTAAAAAATAATTCTTTCTGCTTTTAAGTAGTACATTCATACACTCTTTATTTTCTTCATATAAGGGAAATGTTAGAGAGCCAGTAAAAATGCAAGACTATGGAATCTGGTACATTCTGTGTCTGTTCATAGTTTTAAAAATGTTGGCCTAAGCTTTCACCAAGAATTTACCCCTTTCAACATTACAAGAAAAGCTGGAGGAATGAAGGAACATCCATTTCAGATTTCATGGTGCAGGAAGTTAGAAGCAGACAATTTTCAGAGGGAAGCAACATCCTCAGGCAGATAATTGTACAGTATAATGCTAGATATGTTCATGTTTAACTTGCAAACAAAAATACAACCAACATCTCAGGACATTTTAATAATTTATGCCATTTGTTAAAATCTAGCAAGGGATAAATGAAGGATAGTATTAAAAGATTGTATAATGTTGAAACATATTGTAAATCTGTATTGTGGAGTAGTTTTGCCAAAAAAGTCCTAATTCTATCTAT